CTGGTGCTGTTCATCCTCAATCAAACTCAAGCCACTTTTAAGCTAACATACTTCTGACTGGCTGCTGCTCATAGGCAGAAAGTCTTTAAGCTACACATAAGAGTGACAAGAATGACAAGAAATACTCAGACTGAGATTTCGGTGTGGACATTAAGCTTTGGGTCAGGACTTTTTCATAGAGAGTAATGTGAACCATGTCTGACCTCTGTGTAGATGGATCGTCTCAGACGTTGTCTGGGCTCAAGTTTGGTCGGTTTCTTCTTCCCGCCTGATTAATGTGTTACACTCTGCCCATCAGGGACCTTAAAAATGAACTTTCATTAAGAACAATTTAACCCTTGTTCAGCATAGACACAGCTGTGCTAATGTGTTTATACCAGTCTAACCATAGCTCTGTAGCTAGTCACTAGGTAGCACATCTTTGTTTGTCAGCCATTCAAACTATACTAACTCTCCAAACTGTTATTTAGTTTCCATCTTAGTTTGTGTCCAAAGTTTAAAACATGTTCTTACTGATGTATTTAATCTTTAGATGGAAACAAACTAGCTAAACTGGTAGCTTCTAGCTAAACTGCTAGCTTCTAGCTAAACTGCTAAACGTCTAGCTAAACTTTGTAAATCCTCTCTTTCATGGATGCCTGGGTTTTGAGCAATATTATAAAACCTGTGACTAGTTACACTGGTCATTTAAACTCTGTTGCCCAACCCTGGAGACCTGTCAGTCTAGTTAAAAATGTTTATTTGCTGACTGGGAACCACTTGCTGACCAGCTGGGGAAAACGCATTTTCCCAAGTGACTGAGGATTATCAGGGGGTTGCGATCTGGTCAGTAGGCCTGCGAAGAGAGAAAGAGTTTGGACTGTTTAACTCTCTGGTCTCTGTTTTTCAGAACTGAAGGAAGATTTTGCTCCAAAAATGAGTGAAGATGTCAAATAGGTGCTCTTGGAAACTTTTTGGGTGTTCCATTGGAGCTTTTCTAGCTGCTCAGAAATAAGGATTGTCTAGTGTTTATTACTATTATCTGACAGCTACACTGTGCTGTGCTACTAACTATTTTAAATTCTGCTTATGAATACTGAACAGGGTGTAGGTGGTATGGGGGAGGTGATGGTGTTAAAAAATGTGCTAGTTGGCAGTGGTGATGACAGAAGAGAAGACGGTTTAGTCAAAGTTGGACTGCTCTCTTATTGCTGCGTTTGTGTGTCGCATAGTGGAGTTATACTATCGCTGATTTTCTTTATTTTGTTATTTTTCAGGGTTTAACTGTCGGATTCAGAAGCCCAGAGGACCCAGAGATCCTCCAGCTGAGTGGACTCGGGTGGAGAGATGAACTGGTTTAACTGGACTATCAGAGACTGTTGGACTGGACTGAATTAGACTTGAATCTGACCGTTTGTGTGATTTGATATTCTAAACTGGTGTCACTGTGATCATCTGGCCGGGTTCAGAAAGCTGCCTGTAAATATTTATCGAAATCATGCTTGACGTGTCTGTGTTTTATGTATTTAAAGGTTCAATTTACCTTTTTGGTGGGAATAATTTAATATGTTAAATATTTCGAATAGACGTTTACAGACTTTGACCACAATCTTAAATCATATTTGACCTCCTGACCAGGGGCTTTATCTTATTTTAGATGTTGAATCTTCACTGTCACTATCATTTGAAGACACAAAAGCTCAGTATCACTAACATAGTACTTTGATTTTGTAACGTGAGTGTTAATGACAAATTGTAAAAATAAAAATGGAACATCACATCTGCTGAGTGTAATTAAGTTTTTCCTAATAAAGGATTTGTGTTAACTATAAGGTTTCATGGGGACAAAGGATTAATTTGGCTCAACACACGTTAAGTTTTTATATTTGAAGCTTCTTGTTCTTTGTACATTTTAAACAAATGCTACAAGAAGCTGATCCACGCAGGATTGCTTTTCACAAAACAGTGAAAAGTAAAAGATAAAACCGGGTTCTTTGGTCTGTGAAGTACCTAAAAAAATGAAATTATCAACAAGTGAAGTACTCTCAAACACACCAAAGCAGAAGTCCTCGAGTTGACCAGAGCTAATCTCATTACAGTCAGTCACTATGGAATAATACTCCTGGTTGGTTGCCTACATTTCCCATGATACACCTGATGGGATTTTTCATTAGCGCCTGCCTGCAGCCAGGTTGTCCAAATGCCACACCTCATATTGGCCTTCTTCATGTGCTAGACTGCACATCCCTGACTCCTCTCGTCACTCTGAAGATGAGTCAAGGAAACTGGGATTTAACAAAATAAAACCACCTTGCTCTGCAGCCTCATTTTAAAGCAATTAAATGAAATCAAATATATTTGAGCCAACTGCATCATAAATAGTTTAGTTCGAGCCCTGCAGCTGTATTTTATCATTTCATTTTAGTGCTCATGACTTAATAATATAAAATATATTTAGGGTTAAATTCACAACAACATGAACACATTTGTTTTTAAAACACAAACACATGGTGAAGAACAAAGTCTGAGCATGAAGCTGAAACAGCTGCTGAATACAAAGGCCTGGCTGTTTGTAGAGGAGTCCTCCCTCCTGAGGAGTACCGCCCCTCTTTAATACACGGGGGCAAAGAACACATGGGATGCAGAGGCAGCCTCTTCACTTTGTAATGCCGACTTTCAAGTAACCCGTTCCAAAGCAACCTTGATGACATTACACATGTTCCCTATGAAACTCACTTGTTGTGTATGTTTGTTGAACCTGGTGTCTGCGGGATGAGTAAAACACAGTGTCCCAGATGACCACCAGGAGGCAGCAGAGCAACACCAACCAGCAGCAGGAAGGCCTGGAGCCTGTTGGTGTGTAAAAGCAATAAAGGGAAGAAGAACAGAGGCTCCCGAAGCAGTGTGAATGAAGAGAAAGAACACACTGAGGGAGGGAAAAAGGTGGTTTCAATTAAACGTTTGGCTTCACTGGACTGTGGTCACTGTGTGTGTGCGCGCGTGTGTGGGGCTGTCTTTGTGAGAACCACTGTCAGTTTAAGACCTTGTGAGGACATTTGCTGACTTTGGCACAGAGCTTCAAAGAGCCATGTGAGGGTTCAGACCTGGTTTTAGGGTTCAGGTTTGGGTCATTTGCCACGACATGTGGACACACTTGTATTACTCGTGTTGTGGGAACATAAATGTGTTCACACAACCACATTGTGGGAACGCAACTCTTTTAATTGGATAAAAAGAAGTCCCCATAAAGCAAATCATCAACTTTTAGTGTGATGCTGGAAATGAGTCAAAGTGATGTCCTCTGAAGTGATGGAAACACAAAAGTGTGTGTGTG